AAATAAATTTATCTTCACAACTTTGCCTTTACAATTGGTGATTTCAATCGCCGTGGAGCAGCACGGCCATATTTTGTCTTTGCCTGCCTCGATTTCTTTGCATTCAAAGGAGCAGCGACGCCTTTCTTCCTCGGGGCCGGGGGGGTAATCTTTAAAGTACGTCCGCTCAAGCGAAGCAGCAGATGACCCAGGCACCACACCTGTGTCTTGACCTGTTCTAGGAAGGCCAACCTAAAATGTGGTTCTGTACTTGGCTCTGCCTGGGCAGACTTGGACCCTCTCATGAGTCTTATTGGCTGCCCCCCACAAGGAGCCGTAGCCCCAGAGCCAGCTGCAGCGTTGGGCCATAGGAACCATCACACCCGATCAGAGGACTGCTCCAGCCTCCATGTCCTGTCGTTGGCCGCGAGTCAGGAAAGCACTTACACGTGCTTAAGCCCCATTGACGTCAAGCCTGGGGTAACCGGCTGGAATGTAATGGTCTGGGGTAGCCAGGGCAGGTCAGACGAGTTGAACCTTTGTAAAGGTACGTGCTTAAATGCCCTTCTCTGAATATAAATGTGTTCCTTAACCAGGGCCTTTGGAAGTAGCCACAATGTTCTTGATCACATGTGGCCCTTAACGGCACGCCCCACCCCCCCACCTCCAAAACCAAAATGCTCTTGCCCGAGATTGATGCTTTTCATCCAGGCTCTCTGGCCCAGCTGGGGAACTAGGCTCTAGCTTGGGGGCTGCTTTCATGGAATCCTAGAATCTCAGGGTTGGAAGGGACCTCAGGAGGTATCTACTCCAACCCCCTGCTCAAAGCAGGACCAACCCCAACTCAATCATCCCAGCCAGGGCTTTGTCAAGCCGGGCCGTAAAAACCTTTACTTTCACTTGGGCTGGTAACGCACCCACTTTGCAATAAGGATGCAGGCTCAATAGCAGGGGTGCCGCTAGGCCACTGGTGCCTTCCCATAATTCCCCGGGTGCCCAGTGGGACAGGCCAGTTTGTGCACGTTTCTCTGGGAAAGACTCGGCGAGCGGCTCAGCTGACTGAACCATGGGCACACTCCCCGAAGTCCTAGTGCCACAGGGGAACGCAGGTGTTTTTATAGGGTCAGTTGTGGGGGCTGGCGTGCCGCTAGCTGGAATTTGGGACTCTGGGTTTTAGATTATGGGCTTGATCCTCCTGTCATTTAACAGTGGTGTAAATCAGGCATGTCAGCCTTAAAGTCAATGGCGCTGTGCCGGGGGGTAAATGAGAGAGAGACTCGAGGATGTTACTTTAACAAGATCCCTGATTACTCCCTGTGCTTGAAGAGCCAAGGGGCCCAGAGCCTTAGCTGATATGGTCTCCAATTTACACCAGCTCCAGAGGGCCCAGGATGTGTGAGCAATGCCCAAGACAAAAGTGAAAAAACAATCCAAACAGTCACGGTGTAGAACTTTGTTTTTCCAAGCAGGGCCGGCTCTGGCTTTTTTGCCGCCCCAGGCAGAAAAGCCTCCTGCCGCCCCCCGCTCCCCCGGCGGGGAGCGCGGCAGGGGAGGGCGCCGAGCCCGGCCGCGGCCCCGCTCTCCCCGGCCAGCCAGAGCACCGGGGGAGGATGGCCCCGCTCTTCCTGGCCGGCCAGAGTGCCGGGGGAGGATGGCCCTGCTCTTCCTGGCCGGCCGGAGCGCCGGGGGAGGGCGGAGAGCCCAGCCGCGGCCCCGCTCTCCCCAGCCAGCCAGAGCACCGGGGGAGGACGGCCCCGCTCTTCCCGGCCAGCCAGAGCATCGGGGGAGGACGGCCCCGCTCTCCCCGGCCAGCCAGAGCACCGGGGGAGGACGGCCCCGCTCTCCCCGGCCGGCCGGAGCGCCGGGAGGAGGGCGGAGAGCCCGGCTGGGGCACCGCTCTCCCCAGCCGGCCAGAGCACCGGGGGAGGGCGGAGAGCCCGGGCGCGGCCCCGCTCTCCCCGGGTGAGCGCCGCCCCCCTCCAAGTGCCGCCCCAAGCACATGCTTGGAGGGCTGGTGCCTGGAGCCTGGAGCCGGCCCTGTTTCCAAGCCTTGCTATGCTAGGAGGAACCAAGTTTAATACCTCTGGATAACTTGCATCCAAGAATGTTAAAAGAGCTGGCTGAGGCCCCAGGTTAGTGTAGGCCTATCAGCCTGACATTGATCCTGAACAAAACAACGGCAGAGGCACTAGAAGACTTCATTAATAAAGCATGTAAGGCGGATAATCTAATTAATGCAAAACAACATGAGTTTAGTGGTCCCCAAATTTTTGAGGGGTGTGTCCCCCCCTTTACCCCATCCACATCTCCCTTCCCCCCAGGAGCCAGGGCTGGGAGTGGGGAATGTGGACAGGGGTAAGTGGGCCGAGGCCGCGGTGAGGAAAGGAGCCGAGGCTGGGGGGAGGGGCGGGAGCAGAGCTGCAGTCAGGCAGTGGTGGGGGCCAGCAGCCAGGTGTGTCTCCAGCCCCACCTTGCCCCCAGCCTTGGCCCCAGGCCAGGAACAGAGCCGCTGCCAGGGGGGGGCGGGAGCGGAGCCATGCCAAGGCTGGGGACGTGGCCAGGCCATAGGCGCTGACTTCTTCTGGCGCCGGTGGGTGCTCGAACCCCCTCTGCCCCCGGCCCCGCCCCCATTCCAAACCTTCCCCAAAGTCCTCGCCCCAACTCTGCCCCCTCCCTGCCCCTATTCGACTCCTTCCCCAAATCCTCGCCCCCGTCCCCGCATCTTCCCCGCCGCCTCCCCTGAGCGTGCCACGTTCCCGCTTCTCCCCCCTCCCTCCCGGAGCTTGCTACAGCTGTTTGGCGGCAGCAAGCGCTGGGAGGGAGGAGCAGAGACGGGGTGTGCTCAGGGGAAGAAGGCGGAGGTGAGGTGGGGGCACAGAGCACCCACTAATTTTTCCCTGGCGCCTATGGGCCAGGTGCGGGGCTGGGAGCCACAGCTGGGAGTGGGGCCAGAGCAGAGCTGGGGAGTGAGTGGCGCTCCCTCCACGCCCCCGCCCCCCCACGGGGCTGGCCTGGACCCACCACGCCCCCTCTGAATGCTTCTCTGTGTCCCCCCAAGGGGGGGAATGCCCCACAGTTTGGGAACCTCTGGCTGATGGAAAATAGATCCTGTCAAACTAACTTGATTTTTTTATGAGCTTGATTACACACATAGTTAATAAAGGTAATAGCGTTGATATTTATACCTGACTTCTGTGAGGCATTTGACTTGTGAACACATCACCTTTTGATTAAGAAACTAGAATGATGCAAAATCAACACGGCCTATAATAAATGGCTTAAAAACTGGCTGACAGATCTCAAAATGTAAATCATCATCAAGTGGGGGAGTGCCTAGTGGGGGGGTCCTGTAGAGATCAGTTCTTTTACCATTTGTATCAATAAGCTGAAGAAAACATCACTGATTAAGTTTGCAGATGACTCAAAGACTGGAGGAGTGATAAGTAATGAGGAGGACACGTCACTTATACTGTGCCGTCTGGTTCACTTGATAAGCAGGGCACAAGCCAACAACGTATGTTTTAATATGGCCAAATGTAACGTTACAGGAATAAAGAATGCAGGCCATGCTTACTGGCTGGGCGACTCTCTCCGTCCTGGGAAGCAGTGGCTCTGAAAAGAATTTGTGGCTCTACGTGGATAATTAGTTGAACATGAGCGCTCAGTGTGGTGGTGTGGCCAAAAGGCTAATGCAACCCGGGATGTATACGTAAGGAATATCATTCACGTAGGAGTAGGAAGATTATTTTATTTCTGTATTTAGCGTTGGTGCGACTGCTGCTGGAATCCTGTGCCCAGTTCTGGTGTCCGCAATTCAAGAAGGATGTTGAAAACATTGGAGAGGGTTCAGAGAAGAGCCAGAATTGGCTTGAATTCCTTCCCCCTTGTTGTTAATATTAATAGTAAGTATCCGGTCAGAATTTACCTTTTTAGTAAAGACTGAAGCAAAATAGATATTAAACACAGCAACCTTCTTGATGTCATGTCTTGAGCTCTCCTTCCCCACTAAGGACCTACACTTTCCTTTGTCTTTCTCTTGCTCCTAGTGGATTTCTAGAACCTCTTCTTATTGCCTTTTATTTCCCTTGCTCGGTGTAACTTATTTGGTGCCTTAGCCTTTCTGGTTTTGTCCCTACGTGCTCGGACTATTCTTTTGTATTCCACTTTAGCAATTTGTTCAGGCTTCCACTTTTTGTAGGATTCCTTTTTGATTTTCAGGTGATTAAAGAACTCCTCTGGCTATTCCTCCTATCTTCTCTTTGCATTGGGGTAGGTTGCTGTTGCATCTTTAATATTGTCTCTTTGAGAAATTGCCAGCTCTCCTAAACTCCTTTCTCCCTTAGATTTTCTTCCTATGGGACTTTACCTACCCAGGTCTCCCCATTTGTTAAAATCTGCTTTTTTGAAGCCCATTGTCCTTATTTGAGCTCTTCTCACTCCTTCCTTTGCTTAGAATCACAAAATCTATCATTTCATGATCACTTCCACCCAAATTGCCTTCAACCTTCAGATTTTCAACCAATTTCTCCCTGGAAGGTTAAGCGGTGAACTTGATCAAATGGGGAACAAAACTTCGATAACAAAGGGCTTTCCAATCTGACAGACAAAGCTAATACATGATCCAATGGCTGGAAGTTGAAACTAGACAAATTCAGACTAGAAATAAGATGTCAGTTTTTAACAATGAGGGTAATTAACCATTGAAACAATTTGCCAAGGGTTGTGGTGGATTCTCTATCACTAGCAATTTTTAACTCAAGATGGGATGTTTTTTTAAAAGATCTGCTCTAGTTCAAACAAGAATTAATTCAGTGAAATCCGTTGGCCTGTGTTATATAGCAGGCCAGAAAAGATTTTCACAATAGTCCCTTCTGATTTTATAATCTATGAATCTATAATAACCATCCACAGCTTTAGTCCAAAAGAGAATGTTGCGTTTATACACTTGAAAGCAACCCAAATCCACACACACAATTCATTGATTTTGCATTTGATTTAAGAATAACGAAGCAACACTCATAATGAATCACTGGATCTAGTTTATTCTAGTTTTATTTTTCTTATACAAGTAGCCACAGGCTAAAATCTAAACAGAGCAAACTACAAAAAAAATCTATTTTTTTCTTTCTTTTTGTCTTTTATACAAGGACTAACAATCATAGGATCAGTGGGATTTCAAATATCAAGACAGATAAAAGTAAGAAAGGTAGAAAATAAACAGTAGAAAAGTGCTTTGCATTTTGGGTTTTTATTTTTCCTTAACAGTTTATTCCTGAAGAGGACTGGGACAAAGAGTTTTATTATAGTTATTATTACTTTATTACAAATGTAAAGATATTACAAGTTTACATAATGCTGCAAATACCATCAAAATAAACTCCCTCTTCGCTTTGTAAGAAAGAACCGGATCCAAAACCTAGTGAAGTCAATGTGAGTCTTTCCACTGACTTCAGTGGGCTCTAGATCAGGCCCCAAGTCCCTTCTCCTTATAAAACGTCCAGGGCCAAATCCTGCTCTCACTTATGCTGGCATAAATCCAGAGTAATTCCATTTATTTACACAGTCATGGCGGATTGATACTGCTGTAACTGAGAGGCGAATGTGGCCCTGAAATAACAGAGTTTTCCCTTGAAGATGCTACTGGCTTCACGCATAATCACTGCCAGAGTTCAAACATGCTGTCAGAAATTCAGTGAGATCACTATTCTAGTTGGTACAAATCCAAGTTTCCTCTTTTTTAATTTAATTAACAGGTGTCAAGGTGCTAGATAAGATCGTTAGTCTGCCTTTAATGTATCTTTATTGGGAGGGATACATTTGCAAATACCGTTTCCACAGATGATCTCCACAGGGGCCTCCCCCTGCACCCCCAGGCTTTTATCACTTGTTTCTATAGGATTTTTTAAATTTTTATTTCTTTTTTTGCTGTTCTTTTCAGAATCCCACTTGCTTTTAATCAGCTATTAACGCCTGCTGATGAAGACAGCTCGTTCGAACACATGGCTGCCATTCAAAGACCAAACCCCAGGTCTGATTTTCACCTCCACTGATAGCAGCAGATTTCCTCTGGGCTCACCCCAGCGAGGTAACTGGAATCTGGCTCAGTGAGTTTCTGTACAAAGCAAACTCTGCAGTAGCACCTCCCAGCTCTGTTTCTTGAGACATCCGTCTGTACACAAATATCACATTTCCTGTAAGTACCTCAAACTTTGGGCTTCTCTGAGCTTAAATACTCTCGTCTCTAAAAAATTTGAAAAAAATAAACCAAAGCTCTGTCCCAGCCGTTACATTTTTCCATCCAACCATGAAACATTAACATTGCAAATGTTTTAGGTAACCCACAACAAAGTAACAGCTGACCATGTAGAATAGAGATGCCAACTAGCTCTGTACAACTGAGACAATCCAGTGTCAAAGCTCTAGAAGCATTTTCTCTTCTATGGATTACTTCCTCCCCCCATCTTCCTTTCTACAGTATATACACAGTAAGGGCAACGCTAATGATGAGAATCACAAAACACTATGCAATGGGACACCTACATACATGGCAGAAAATGTAAAGACAGTAATTTAAGAACGACAGCTGATCTGAGTCTTTCCCGGATTTGAAATCTTCCTAGCTGCGATCTCTGTGTGACAAGATATTTGAAGGCAAATCATGGGAGAAGACGTACCTGGTTATAATGGTCTTTCTTTGCAAAGACTTTTATTTGCTTTGACTGACAATGTGTGTGGGGCGGGATGGAGGGGGATGAAAGGAAGGGGACAGGATGGCTATAGAGGGTGAAAGGGCAAAGGTCATCACCAAATGGATGATGGAGTCATATTCAAGGGGCAATGGAAAATAGTGGGGTGAAAAATTATTTCAAGGAGAATGTGTGCTAAGCACTCATTCACATTGAAAACATGAGCATTACAAAGGAACCAGACATAGGGCTTGTGAGGAGAGAAGAACCCAAATTTGAATACAGGCTAAGAAGTCTGGAATAAAGGATGAAGCTCAGAACAGAATTTGGAAATGTATTTTATCGTATGCTTTGCTTTTTTCTTAAAGACCATCATACGCTTCCTACACATAAAAAACCATTCATATTGATTCCCCCCAGTAGGGGCTCTGCAATGCTGTAGAGACTTTTGTCCTCAAATCACTGCATAGTATAATTATCTTAGTAAAGAGAAATGTGCCGGGAAACACACAGTGAGGTTGTTTCAGATTCACAATGCAGTGTGTATTTTGTACCATACGCCAGACCCACCACCCATGGAAGTCAAGGAAGTCTTTCCGTTGATTTAAATAGGCTTTGGATTGGGTCCTACAGTGACAGCACGTCATGTATTGTTTCTTTTCTGATTGCTGACTTCAATGTAAAATCCTGGTTCTCTTTAATCCTGGGTGGAAGTTTTACAAATTCCAGTCTGGTTTTAACACTTACAAAATTCCAGCATCTTTATGAAACAAGGTAGAAGTAAAAAAAGATACATTTCACAAATAAATACCTGAATCCAACAGTCTGAAAATACCCTGTCGCAGCATAAAATTCTTCCCTGTTGAATTAAACATAAAATGCAGATATTTTCCCTGAGGTAGCAGCCATCTCTGGTAAACTTGGGAACAGATCTCCAAGAATAGGTCGTGCTCACTAGGGGTTATCAAAGCCAGGTCTTGGATACTTCCTGCCACAGCTTCATCTCGCTGTAGCCAGGAAAGCGATAGTAAACAAAGTCAGTTTATTTGAAGGAATGGAACGCTTTCCTTGGCTAAATATACAGGACGAGAGTCTGTTGTCAGTTACAGCAGTGTAAAGAAGGAGTAGCTCCACAGTGAAGCTACTCCAGATTTATACTGGTGTTACGAAGGGTATGTGCGCCCTGCAGTAAAACCCCCGTGGCTGGCCTGTGTCAGCTGACTCGGGCTCGTGGGGCTTGGGCTGTAGGGCTATCAAGTTGCACGATAGACATTCAGGCTCTGGGACGCTCTGGGCTCAAACCCAGCCTAAGCCCACACATCTACTCTGCAATTTTATAGTCCTGCAGCACAAGTCCTTCGAGCCCGAGTCAGCTGCCGTGGGCCAGCCGTGGGTGTTTTACTGCAGTGTAGACATACCCTAAGGAGGAAAACAAACCGACCAACCCTGTTTCTTAAGGTGCAGCATTCCAATCTCCTTTAATTTAAAACACTGGAAAGAATTTTTTTTTGTAATGCATGAGATATCAGGGTAAAGAACAACAGTATGGAATGGAAGCTTTTTGATGTTAATTCTTCAAACACACCCAGCTTATTGTCAAGTCCCCAAGATCAGCTATCAAAAAGAACACCATCACTTTACTTCCATCCATGCATTAACACATGTAAATGCTGCTATCACCTGCCATATATCTGATGGTGGGGAATACAGTGTCCTAATTCGGAAGTCCTAGTCAAGCAGAGACCTCTTGTAGACAATAACATGAGACTGTTCCTCAAAATGCCCTTTGTGTTGTTTAGGAAGCCCAGCCAAGGGAACTCAAATCCACTTGTCAATCCTCAGGACACATGGATCTAGGCTGGTTCAAAACTGAACATTTTCAGTGTAGTCAATGCACATATTTTTAAATACCCAGGACTAGATTCTCAGGAGGTGTAAACAGATGCAATGCTATTGAAATTAAAGGCGTTCTGGCAATTTAAACCTCCTGGGAATCTGGCCTCAGGTGCTTAAAACCACCGACACACATACATAATCTTTGATGCGGAATATTGTGTGTCGCACACATCGCACTGACAAGATCTCACCCAGTGCTCAGGAAAGACTCCCATCGTCACATATGCGGTACATAAGGCAGCCACTGTTTGCTGCACACATAACTCGAACAAGTAAATCAGCACCGGCAAAAAAAAAGTGTTCTTTACAACAACAAATCACTGGTATATGGAAACAAGAGGTTTGTGCTGGCTCGCATTTCCTGGAACGTTATGAAGGCCACTTCAACAAATATCCAGTAAATGTAAATGGATCTGTTTAAGTCAACATCCCCGACTCCGACCTTAAAAGCTGATCCTTATGACTGGACACCATATTATATGAAGCTGGAGTAAATAACTGATAAAGACCTTGTGCCCAAATTTGCCCTCAGCACCTTGTAAAACTCCATCTAAGTTGATGGGGTTGCACAAGGTGTAAGTCAGAAGAGCATCAGGCCCCACCTTTCTAGTTTCATTTCCAAGCTGGATTGTGTTCTTCAGGTTTCTATCAGAGATGGGTGAACCTGTCTGGATAAACCAAGAACTGACCTGAATCTCTGCCCAACACTTGAACCAAACCTAAAGTCAGCTTCTTCGGAGACTTTAAAAAAGTTCAATTAGTGTTTTCCCAATTTTTTAATTTATCTTTTGCACAGGTCTGTGCTACTCTGTTCAGTCGGGGATCAAAAATGGAGGCATCCAAGAGCCAAAAAGATAGCTGCTACTTGTGTTAATTCCCATCTAACCAGAAGCTGGATGGTCATGTACTCAAAAACACACAAGGCAACGCCCGTTGTTGCAAGGTTTCCTGTCCAGTGTTGCAGACTCAGAAGGCTTAGATAATTCAGGTAGGATAACATCTCCTTGGTGGCTCTCCAGAATGGACCCTCAAACCTTTTGAGGTTTGCGCATCACAAACTTCTGTGGATATTTTGCAATGCTATGGATTTACAAGAGCTTAAAAGAAACCTCAAAGTGAGGAAAATCTAAATATCTAAAAATAATCTTTAAAGGTTCACATATATCTTTTACTGTCTTAAACCAACAGATAATCAACATCAGTTCAAGCCATTACATTTCTGCATCTTAGAAAAAAAAATCTATTCTTGACATACTACTGTATTTCAACTAATCAAATGGCACAGCATTTCCCTTTAATAAAAGGAAGTAGTGACAAATATGTGTTACTATTACAATATCACAATAATGTGATATTGAACTAATAACAGGTTCACAGCCCCAGATATTTTGAGCCGAAAGCTAGTCTAAATTATGTGTTCACTTTGGCAACAGTACTTTATTCAATCTGAACTTCATTACACACAGAGACAATAAAAACAAGAGTTCAAATGAGGGAGTCTGGGTTCTCTTTGATACCAGGTCGTAACTCAATGTACGAGGAAATACATCATCATTTTCTTTTTTCCTTCCTTCTGGTAGTAAATTGTAACCTCGGCAATACTGATGCTGTGCATGTGGCACAGGGGCTCTGCGTCGTGACATGTCGGGTGAGTGCTGTAAGTGTTAGCAAACCGCCCAGATCTGGAGATCAAGCTCTGAAGTGCTTGAAATCCAGGCCTTGCAGTTTGAGCTTTCTCTAACAGGGACTTCAAATCTTAGACGCTGATTCTTGTTTTGATTGAAATAAAAGAGACACATTTATCAAGCCCTTCAAATCACTAACATTAACCCTTCCTTGGCTTTTCGTCATACACACTGGCCTTATTTCTTTAATAAGGCTCCAGCATCCCTGCCACTCTCGGGTCACCCTGCACCTCCATCGCCCATGACTTTGCCTCTCCAAACACTGGCATAAATTGGCTCCTACAAAACAATCTCTTCTTCTGTAGCTAGGCATCCCCAGCTGATCAATAATACCCTAAACTCAGAAACCACAGGGCCTGAGAGCATAGGTGCTCTGGCTTAAAGCTGTTATACTCTCACTCGCAATCTGCTTAAGAAATTTGGAGCGAGAGGGGGAAAAAACCCTCCCCCAGCATACTGTAAAAGCGTGAGCAGCAACCTCTCTGAGGTCATAGTTAGCCACTGCTTTATTGGCAGAGGGAGAGCATTTGTGGGTTTGATCGCATACAGATCTGGCCCTTTAAAACTCCATCCAATCCTGCAGAACAAAACATAACAAAACCAAAAGACATCATGTAGGACAAGAGGAATTTTAAAGGGCCAGGACACTTATAAACACTGACTCATATTCGCCACTGGCGCATGTTGCTCAACTTAATTGAGGTCAATGGCATTGCATCTGCTTATGCCAGTCTGGTCAATCGGACCCTCAGGGAAGCTGCCCCCTCAGATCTAACCCTCATGAGTAAATCTATTTCAGAACAAAGGAACTGGGAGTTATATATTTTTGCTCACTGTGCTATATATCATATGACAATTCTTTCAGTACTCAAATGCCAAAGGGTATAGTTAGTTAAGAGGGGCTGATAAGCATGTTTCTGATACATCCTGATCTATTCCACAGGTACTGAAGCTGTAGAACTGTTTTTCTTTTTTTTTTTTAAAAAGGCAAGACAATTCATTCTTTACTGAACCGAGTTTCCTTTCCTGATTCCTTTCCACTTTCAAAGAAAAGTGAAACTGTCACCTTCACGGGGTATAAAAATACTTCACAAATAAACTTCTTAAAAACACATGCCCGTGAAATGGCTGCCCTGGATGTTTAGAGTTGTGGATTGGATTCTCTTCAGCATCGCAATACAGAGGTTTCAATACCACCAGGTTGCTTGACCACTTGTACTGAGGTAGGTCACCAGCAACATGCACCGACCGAACACATTACATTCTAAGGCTTTGTACATGAGGTCTACAACAGATACCACCACCAATAGCCTAAAGATCAGCTGCCGGGAGGAATTTCTCCACGCCCGTTGGCACAATGCCACGTTAAGAGCACGGTGATCCTGTCAGTATACATGCTGGTGCCGTATCAGCTGGTATGGCCAATTTTGGAGGGGTTGGGGACACTGACAGCTAGTCCTGCGGCACTGTACAAACTGCAGCTGTGGACACTCAGGCCTGGTCTACACTGGGGGGAGGGGGGGACGATCTAAGTTACACAACTTCAGCTACATGAATAGCGTAGCTGAAGTCGACGTACTCAGATCTACTTACCTGGTGGAATACTGGAGTCGACAGGAGAGCACTTGGCGGTCAATTGATCGCATCTAGACTAGACGTGTTAAAACGACCCCCGTTGGATTGATCGCTGCCCGTGGATCCAGCAGGTAATGTAGACAAGCCCTTAGAACGGTCTCTTTTTCCCACCCTTCCAAATTGAATTAGGTCTTTACCATTCAAAACAGCATGTGGCGAAGCAAACAGAACCTTTAATGGCCTGGAGTGCTGACACCTTCTATTTCATAATAAAGGGTAATTAATGTAGAGTTTGAGGCAATCTAAAAAAAAGACTGAGATAAGTGGGTCCCTACATTGCTAACCCTGGGCCAGATTCTGGCCTCGTTTCCATCTTGTGAAACCCTAATGGAGCTCCACTGGCTGGAAAGCTGCTCAAAACACAGCCCAGTGTAGTCTTTTGGGCTGCTTGAGAGACAACCATAATTGTCCCCAATAGCTCTCTTGACTCTTCAATGTCTTGACGAAGACATTGCATTAATTTCCTAACCTCCTATTAAAAAGCCGCTGCACATCCAAGTGATATATTCATCACTGCTGGAGGCTCTCTTTATGACCATTCCCTTCATCCTTTTTTAATACTACATCCAGCGTGGATGCACCCAACAACTGCCCTTTCCTGGTAAAAGGAAGCCATTTTTAAATGGCTTGCGCATTAGACAAGGGCAAAGAGATTTTTTGTGTTAAAGCGAAGTGTGTTTGCAGACTACGGTGCACACACAGATGCTGTTGGGCAGCAACTCTGGTATATATTACCATGTGCACCCAGTCACAGGGCTCTTATTCCTGGGATCTCGTCAGCTGAACAGCAGAGAATGTGATGACCATCTAGTAGTGAAAGAGCGTAGGCGGCATGATGAGGTGCAGGCACTGAGATGCACGCACCAGATTGTACTCTCCGTTAGCTGAGTGCGTCCCCACTAATGATAATGGACCAAATTCAGCCCCAGCGCAAGTGAGGACAACTGAATTGAAGTCAATGGAGCCAGGTCTGGCTTTGACCCATTGGGACTGAACTAGCATAGTTCAGGGCAGAATCAGACCTTTAGGGCTTGTCTACACTCACCAGGGGATCGACGAGCGGCGAGCGATGCATCGGCAGTCAATTTAGCGGGTCTAGTTAAGACCCACTAAATCGACCGCAGATCGCTCTCCCGTCGACTCCTGTACTCCACCGGATCGAGAAGAGTAGGGGGAGTCGACGGGAGAGCATCTCACATCGACATCGCGTAGTGTGGGCCCCGCAGTAAGTATATCTAAGCTACGTCGATTTGAGTTACGCTATTCACGTAACTCAAATTGCATAGCTTAGATCGGATTTCCCCTGTAGTGTAGACAAGGTCTTAGTAACTTGTTTAGGCCTTCAGAAAATGGCTTTTCTCAGACACAGTTCTCACTGAAGCTAATGGGAGTTTGAGTGACTACACACTGAGTAAAGGATCTCAGATTTTGTCCTCTCTGCTTTAAATATATATACATGTTGCCTCTCACTTTATTTTTTCCATTTTTTTCTATATTAATAAAAAAATTCCCCCTTTCCTTTCAAAACAACCAATGTTCTTCCCAGTGGGGTGTTAATGAAATAGTCTAGTGGCCATTCCACCACACCGGGCCATCTTTCCACTCAGAAAGGTGACATACTAGGGTAGGCAGCTCATCCAGCCAGCTGTACCCTTGAACATTCGGACGTGCTTTTTAAGTTTCAAGTTTAAGCGGGTTTTTCATTCAAAAGTAAGAAGTGACACACTATGGCTGAAAAGAAATAAAGCTAATAAAGAAAATGCATCTTTTAGAAATATGTATTTAGCCCCCAAAGAGGGAGAAAGGGGTCAAAATAGACTTATCTTTCACAAAGCACTTCCCTGAGGCATTTAACACACGACAGAGGATGTGTCAGTCATTGTGAAATAATCAGGCAGCTCCTTGTATGCGTGAGGAATGAGGCTGAAAAGCCAAGCGTCTCCAGTATACAACAAGTGCCATTATCTCCGCTGGGAGTGTGTTATTCCAGGTAGCCAATGGTAGAACCTGAGGGTTCTGAGTGAAGATGGGAACGTGCATATGGGTAGGTGCTGTAGTTCTAATCTATCCAGCTAATGTCCCATAATGTGTCAGACTGGAACTGTAATTAGACAAACTGGATATTCCCTCGGGGCTGGATCCTGCATGGAGCTGAGCACTCTGATCCTAATTCAGCAAAAGACGCATGCTTAGTTCTTGGCTAAGCATTGACTTTGTTGGGCCAAAACCAGACTGCTTACTTTCTTGTAGGATCAAGCCCACAATCCTTAGAAAATGGGCAGGTTCACTGGTTTGAAGGAGCAATTGGGAACAGCTCACCTGTACTCCAGGGTCCAGTTTGGCCCTAATGTGGCAGGTGAAGATTCTCTTTAGGTTACTAGTGGTGGTAGACCTGCTACAGCTCTAACAGTCGTTAAAGTAGAACCATCATATAAAACTCCGTCACACAAAACCAAACACAAGCACTATGACTTGGCTAAATGTAAAGCTTTTAACACTAACGAAATGTCACCACAATCGCTACTTAACGCAAACACACTGCCCTTTCATTTGTCTTTGAACAGGTTTCACTGGAGCAGAGCAGAACAGTCAGATGAAGGAGGAGCAGGTTTGACGACACAAACGAATGAACTTCTATATAAAACTTGAGGTAGAACATTGCTTTCAAGGTTTGGAAGTGCTTTACATCAGAATGACGACGACACAAAAAAAGGACAACACCATGGCAGATATGGAGCATGACTTCTGAGGTAGTACCAAGCTTATGCAGACCAAGTGCTACGCTACTTGTTTTGAAAACAAAGGAAGACACAGATATTTGCTGCTTCCCCGAAGACATTCATTCCGGTTGAGGTAGGTTCTGAGTCTACTCGGGATGTTTGTCCAAGTCTTTCAGTAGCCCTCATGCAGGCCTCTTTTGACACATATTTTTTTTTCTTATTTATAGTCAATCACCAAAAAAGCATCCTGAGAAATAGAGAAAGTGTACAAAATCATCAAATCCATGGAGAGGTGGCCTTTCCCGGCCTGAATTTTTGGAGTCAAGTTAGAAGGATTCATCTTAATCCAGTCATCATGAAATAAAAAATAGATCACAAAGTACTCCTAAAGCTGCTAATGGGGAACATGGGCTGGGATGCCAAGGGAACAAGGCTCCGCCATATTCCATCATTGATAGAGTCTGGAGAATTTGTAAAGTCTGTTACCTAGCAGCCATGGGAAAAACAATCATGACCAGTCTTGATAATGCAATTGTAGGAAGAAATGCACAAAGAGGCCTGAGACAGGTCAGGAAGATAAACTTCATAGCGCTTCAAAAAAGCTGTATATCGATATAAAAGAAATAATAAAGCAAAAAAAAAAAAAACCCCAGACTGTAGAAATCTTAAATTGACCTGAGATTGACGAATCATTGTAAAGACATCACCAGACATGGAAATGGTTCTTGGTGAGTCCTACAAGAGGCTTAGAGACTTGGCAATTATCCTTCATTGGTGGGACTATGTTTCAAAACTGGGACTTCCTGGCTAAAGTTGTGTAGCGGTCCACCCTGATCATCAGGCGCCAGACTTTTGGCTGGGGGATCGAGTTGTTCTTCTATAATGCTGAATTCATCCAGTGGAAGGGTAGATATCTGAGTCTCATCATGTGAGTCAGGTGGGACGTGATCTGGCTGAGAGGAGACAAAACACCCCATTACAAAGACAATAATTGTTGCATTTGGCTATCACTACCAAGATGCTGGGCTTCTTAGAAATGACATGGCTCATCCAGGAACGAATATGCACATCTTACATAGATGTCCTTAACATCTACAGTTTAAAATCTACTCCATCGGCCAGGAATAAGGATTGTTTGTGGGCTACCACTATGAAGTTGTACATTCGTAACCAACCCCGTTTGGGCTGACAGTGGGGTTCAAACTTGAGACTGTCAGTGCTAAAAGCAGGAGCCTCTATCACTTGTGATAAAAGAATAATTCCTCTAGCCAGCTGCTGTAGTAGACTCTTAACCTCTTATATGAACTAACCACTAGCGGGGGACAAAGACACACACTCTCCCAGTGTGGAATGGATTAAACATTAGTGCTTAGCGGATCTATATTTTCAATGCATGGAAGGGAATTAAGCATATAAATCTCTCCCCATAACAAGGGGAGAGGAGTGTGTTGGAAAGGGGAGAGTGTCCGTAAATCCCATGATTAATGTCAAGGCAGGACCCTTACCATTATTCCCTTATCCTGTTGATCCTGGGAAGGCAATGCTAGAAACAACCTTTCCAGTTCGTTCATCTCCAGTTGCTTCCCATTCATGTCCAGGTCATCCCTGTTCCTCCGAGCGGCTCCATTCAGAACCAGGCCTGTGGCGTTCCTCTGACTCCTCGGGATCTGGGGAGTTGACAGCTGTTCCTGGACGTTTTTACACATCAGCAGTCTGGAAAACCGAGAGGGGAGGAAACTGAAAGTGTAGCACCTCCCAGCACTGCATGCTGCCCCTTTATGTGGGCCTGGACACACCTCGCCGTTCACATCTTACAGTGAATTCTATGCTCATATACAACCTCCCAAAACAGGAGCTAGGTTCAGAGAGAAGCCGAGAGAAGTCACAATTCTAGTCTTTGTCTCCGCCTCTCCTCCCCCTGACACCCGAAACCCCCTCCACACTTATCAGTGCGCCATGTTCTCTCGCTCCTCCTTATAACCCATTTCTCTGACACAGCTTTCAAAGCAGATCTCCCTGCGGATGTGTCCACCACGTGTGCCACCTCAGCTGTTGCCCCATGTAGGGTAGTTAGTGTAACTGTCTTTTAATACGTTTTGTAAAGGGGGCGGTGCTGGATTGACATCAAAGGCCTCTTGCTGGATGTGGCCGCACAGCTTTGCTTACGATAAAGTGAGCACCCACAACTCTTATGCACTTCAGGTCTAATCCAAGACCCTTTGGAGCCAATGGAAAGACTCCTATTGACTTAACTGGTCTTTGATCAGAGCCTAGGTAAGCGATTACTGTACCAGCGACAGGGATGTTATACAATCCCACGGGGAGGGGCACAATCACCAATGGAAGGAGAAGTGGACCCTGCAATCACAAGTGTGACCACGGCCTGGCCTGTGGACTCACAAATGGGAGGTGGTCCACGAGACATTCATGCTACTGCAACGCGGTTGAGTCTTAGAACCCTTTGAATAGCTTGAGAACCACCGGCGCAAAGCAAACAGCACAATACAAGTAGATAGTGTATTCGTGTCACCCGGCCGGTGTGGGGAGAGAACCGTACCTTCCTCTGTACCCACACATGAGGAACAGGACACAGAATATAATGCACGTGACTCCAATGTGGATCCCAATGATGATCCCCGTGGTGGAGGTCTTATTATTTTGCTCATCTTTCATGCAGTCACACGGGGGATTCAACACTGTGAGGAGAAGCAGTGAAAAGGGAGTTAGTCACTGGGGTTTTAGCCACCTAGACACGAAAGCGTTGCAGCATGTGCTGGGGTGGGAAGCCCAGAATCAGGCCATGTTCTTGAGTAGCTCAGAGGCTGCCTCTCCTTCCTGGGCCTAGTTGTAGAAGGAAGGAGGAGACAGGGAGGAGGCAGCCGCAGTCACAGTGACTAGGGGGCTGCTCTGTTCCCCCTGCTATCAGGACCTGGAACAGCTCCCTCCCCATTGCCCCCCAGGCTGAGAGTGCAGAGCAGGGGGAGCCCAACTGGGGATGGTGGGGGGCTGAGCCAGCTCCAGGGAAGAGACTGATCCCAGCCCAGCAGCAGCTCCTCTTTTCCCCCTCCCTGAAGGGGAGCCGGGGTGGGGAAAACGAGCGTGGAAGGCGCTTCGGGGGAATGAGCTGTAGAACCAGCAGCCTGGAGGGGAGGACAAGGGTTGGGTGGGAGAGGGGAGGGCTGAGGAGTATTTGGGGAAGGGAAGGCTTGGGTGGGGGTGTTGGAGGGAGGGGTAGAGGGTGTTTTAGGGAGAGGAGGGGTGGGGGGTGTTTGTTGGAAGGTGGGAAAAGTAGAGGAGGGGAGCCTTTGGGAGAGGAGAGGGAGTTGTGGGGGAGAGGGAGGTTTGCAAGGGTCAGGGAGGGAGGGAACGTTTGGGGGGCAAGAGGGGCCTCACTGTACTATGAGGGGGTGCCTCCCCACAGCTTTGCTGGCAATGCGACTCCCTTGCTCTCCTTAACGCCCCACTACAGCAATGGCCACCAGTGAGGGGGCCCTGCCGGCTGCCCTCCGAGCTGGACTCCAGGCTGTGACCAGCAGGACCCCACTAGCACAGGCTCTTTGCTCTGGAACCGGCTCCCCACAGCCCGGCGAGTGGCTCTTTAGGATTTGGTGTAAGATGTGCTCGTTCGCCGTGGCACTCTCTTCCGTCGGGCCCGGAGCCAGAGGGTATTTATTCAGCACCAGATGAGGGGTGTGGAGGCAGGGCTGTCTCTCATCTGTGCCAGCTGTTGCTGACAGTCTTTCATTGTAATGTCCCCAGATCAATCAACCGATATCCATGGTAACACCCAGGGCTAGCACTGGACACCATTATTTAATGAATGAAATGGGATCAGGCTGCCAAGCATAATATTTGTTTTATTCAGACTGCAGGTCGATGGCTGCAGCAGGCTGCCAGCTGAACACTCTTACAAACCGTACGTTATCCCCTCGCCGTGATCTGTATCGAGAACATCCGAGGTACCGATGCGCCTATTTAACTACAGGCTAAAGCTAGCTGAGGAGAAAACAACAGCCCCGCCACAGCTTTCCACAATAGCGACGCGCTCTCCCCAAATACACCCCCCTATCGCAGTTAGCTATTTACAGGCCAGCGTCTCCCCCTGGCCCTTTGTGCTGGAGGGGCTGGCAGGGACTTTCATCTGAACCAATTCCTAAGATTTTGCAGTTCTGCTACATGGTAACAAAAGCTTTCAGCCTAGTCTCCGGAGACCAGCAATTTCCTTTAAAAGTAGAGCCTGCATCTCTGATCTCTAATGCTGCGCTCGGATGAGAAGTGAAAGGATAACATACAATTATTTTGCCTTCCTGCCTGGGGATCTGTAAACTTTGCATTTTCTCTGTGTCAGAGGTATGATGGGAATTACACTGGAGGAAAAATGCAGCCAGCCAGAGCAGTTCATAATACCTTATTCAGTGGTATCCCCCAAACCAAAGGCTAAGTATTAGAACGGAGCGGATGGACTTATCTGTACTTCCAACAGAGATGAATGTTTACTACATTAAAGGGACAGTATGAATAACAATCTATGTTTTGAAGATATTCCCATTGGACGTCTGGTGAAAATGACTCCCAAAGCACCAGGGTATTTTTCAACACATACAAGAACCCAAAAGGTGTGAGCAATTAAAGATTCCCCCAAGAGGAGAATCCTGTTGCCTCCAGGTAACTAAAGCACTGATGCATTCAGTCTCTTTCTTGCTTCCTACCAAACATAGATGCCCTCCAAAGAACTAGGTTACAATTATTTGAAACCTGATTTTCAGAGATGCTCTCGCCCACAATTCCAACGGAAAGCAATGGAAGCCGCAAGTGGTCAGTGCCTCTGAATACAGGGCCCAGAGAGGAGTCTAGTCTAGGTGAGGAAGAGCCAGGAGAGTAGAATTATGGCAGCAAACGCATCCTTAACCCATCACTGCAGCTCACAAACCAGATGCAAAACCACCAGCTGCTCTGAGACCAATTCCCTGCAGTGGGAACAGAATCCTAGTAAGGAGTGAGAGATGGCAAAAACCACGGTAGTCCGGGGAGTCATCTCCTTCCAAAGCCAAGATACCCTCCAATGTGAAACTGATAATACAGCTGATCATAACCAAAACTCTATAGATTCACAGATCCTAGGACTGGAAGGGACCTCGAGAGGTCATCGAGTCCAGTCCCCTGCCCTCATGTAGAACCAAATACTGTCTAGACGTCCATTCCTGTGCACCAGCAAGAGGAGCAAAGGATGGGTCAACTCTGGGCTTCAGTTCAGGCTCAGATTTGTAAAGGGATTTAGGCACTTCTCCACTCAGCATTGCAAGGACTAGGCAATTTAGACAGTGATTTTGACTTCCGATGAGAAGTAGGCTCCTAAATCACGTTTGAAAATGGGACTTAGCATCTAAGTCGCTCAGGTCTTGCAGCGCTAAGTAGAGCAATGCCTAAATACCTTTACAAATCGTAGCATCCATTGTTTTGTCAGTTTCAAACAGGCTCTTCTTCATTTTCTTGTTCACAGGAATTTCCTTGTTTACTTGGTTTGTTGACAGAAAGAGACTGTCATGGACAAAACTGTCCCAGATTGTTAACAACCAAGCAATCACTCCAGAAACAATGAAAAAAGAACGAGGAGTCCTCGTGGCACCTTAGAGACTAACAAATTTATTTGGGCAGAAGCTTTCGTGGGCTAAAACCCACTTAGCCCACGAAAGCTTATGCCCAGATAAATTTGTTATTCTCTAAGGTGCCACAGCCCACGAAAGCTTATGCCCAAATAAATTTGTTCGTCTCTAAGGTGCCACAAGTTCTCCTCGTTCTTTTTGCTGATACAGACTAACAGGGCTACCACTCTGAATCCAGAAACAATGATTCTTTATCTGCTATTATCACCCACTTGCAATAAGTGTGTGGAGATTTAGAAAAGCAGGACAACAATGGGCTCCTTAAAGTACTATAATCAATACATTCTCATCTAATCTGTCTAATGCACCCAGCACACTGGTGACTACACCCAGTTCTGCGTTCTTTCCGAGCACTAAAAGCCTGACTTGCTCCCCTGAGTACAATGAACTTATCTAAATGTAACTAAGGATAGAACTGGGCTCCGAGTTTATTAAGAGCCAGATTCTGACCTCGAATCCATGTTCCGGGTTCCCACTGAAGTTAGTTGGAATTGCACATATACGGAACGAACTCCCAGGATTTAACCCTAAGACTTTTAAAACAATGTTGATGATAAAAAGGAATGGGGCAGGGACCATCTTTTGATTCTGTGTTTGTACAGCACCTAAGCCATGAGTGGGGCTCCTAGGTGATGTGATAATACGAATACATAACCACACTTGTCCATACACAGCTGTTGCTTGTGAAAGCGAGAGAGCTAACTGTGTGCACTCTCTAACCTGTCCACCAAACAGTATGCCACATTCTCCATTTGTGGCCTGTACAATCTGAATTTAGAAGACAAACATTGCTATTTAGTTACAGGAGTACCCGAAACTGTTTTCTGTAACTAGAGATCAGACTGAACGGAGCCAGATCCAGAATGTTTTCCTTCCTAGCAACACTAACAATCGGTAACGGTGGTTTGGAGTGTGCTACAGAGTTGGCGGTTCATGCCCATATTATTTCCAGTTGCTTCCTTTAGAAAGAAAGAAAGGGGTAATGAACTTGCATAAAGATTAAGCAACTGGAATTAAGCACATTAGCCACCAGAGGGCACCGCTTCTCCATGCAACCTAGCTTCACATTTATTTGCTGTGCAGAAAATAAAGTGCTTCTTAAAGGTGATGGTTCAGAAGTCGCAGCATACAGCGTTGGATGCACATTAAATTAACTGTGTGTTAGTAAGACCCTCACCGTCTCTGGCTAGATCACTCCGATGCTGTGACGTTTCACATCGCGTACACAAGTTGGACTGATTCTGCCTCTTACCTGTTCTTTCAACAGTTTCTCGAAGGGATACAAAGCGGACAGTAGAATTTCCATCCCCATGCTGGTTATATGCCAGGAGTTTTACTTCATATACCACTGATGGGTCTATTTTAGAAAAGACACGAGGAGGGCATTTCAGGTTAAAGAGCTACAGTACACTAATCTTGCTGAGCCTGCATTTGTCATGAAAACAGAAACATCTTACACGCATTGCAAAAGCCAGTCACTGTAAGTATAAGTGAACCTGCTCTCACTTAAATCAGTGGGGGCAGGCTGAGGGCCTAAGGGAGGAGTGGAAAACAAACCTTGCTAGGCACTCATGATATATATTTCCTAGCTGTCGTATATTACTCTAGACATTCTGTTATGATGACAACATAAAGGGGAATTTTCTTGCTTAGCGAAGGCATGTAATGTGGCTAACGCCCTCCTCTGTACTTACCCAAGTGAGTAATGTTATAAGATGTAATGTTGCTGGGCAGGAGCATAGGGCCAGTAAAGTGGGATAGGTGAACTTTACGGTAGTAGAGTTTGAATCCTTCATGCTGGCCCAGTTTGACGGAGGGCTCCCACACCGCTTGGATGGTGGTGCTGTTAAGAACTTTAATAAAGAGGGACGGAATTGCTGGGACTGAAACAGAGAGAGAGAGAGAGAGGTTTTTCACGACTTGGGTCATGCTTGTTCCCGTCGTAGCCTAAACATAATCGGCAGTGCACAGAAAAATAATGAAATCCCTCCTAGCATTTCATGGTAGCTGCTGAGTCAGGGGGTGTGATAGAAAGATTCACTTGATCGAGATTAGCTTAGGCTAGATTCTGCTTTTATAGTCCTGAATTCCTGCAAGAAGTTTGTGAGTTTCAAACCGTTTCCTGTTCTCAGCATGGCCGTTCAACAAGCCAGGAGGCTACTTTGTAGATTCTGTTGCAATTTGATTCTCGGCTCCATCGGGTCAGGTCAGGAATGCAGGAGCATTGGAAGTGAATTGCCAGATTCCCCTCTCCTCCCCCCAGGGCAATGGTAGCCTTTTAGAGTGATTAATCCCTGAGGGAGGGAGAAACCAGAAGGATGGAGTTAGAGACATCAGTCTTAAAGCAATAAGTGAAATATGCTGCAACCGGCTGAGCTCTCAGGCTTCCTGCACTGACTTGCAGTCACTGTTCCAGCAGCGTTTGCTAGTCTGGGCTCTGCTCTGCAGAGTGTTTCAGGGGCCATTACACAGAGAGGTTAATAAAGAAGGGAAAGAATCGGGGATCAGAGTGAAAAACAAAGTCGTTTCAATCAAGGCAGTACATTTCTCTACGTTATGTGGCTGCTACCTTGCAAGCAGTTTCATCATAATCTTTTTGGAAAGGGATGTGCTTACCGGATCTCAAGGATGCATGAGGTTGGGGGGCAGGGGAGATGCAGGACTCTCCTTTCTTACTTGGTTATCCCCACTTACCCATAATGCTGAGGCCAGGGCCTGATCCAAAGCCCAGTGAAGTCAATAGGAGTCTTTCCATTGACATCAATGGATTTGGGGCTCAGGCCCCTGGAGACAAGGGAGGAGCTGCTAGTGGCAGGAGTGCTTTACTCCCACTAGGGGATGGAGCTAGATGGATTGTCCTCCAATGTACGCACTGGGCACCGCTGCATGGCTGGCACTGACAGGGTGTAGCAAGGGCTGCTGCTGAACTTGGGCCATCCAGCACCCCTGGCGGTATTGCATCTCTTCCTGTTTTCCACAGGCCACGATTTATGCCATAGAGGTAAAGAAAGATTTATAGTCAGAGCATTGGGCAGGCTTAGAGCTAGTTATATGCCCCCCAGGCTCCATTCTCAACGCTCTTGCCGGTGGCTGGAGTGGTGAGTTGCGCAGAGATTTTCCCCACATTTGTTTCTTCCTTGCACCCATCAGAGTGAGTGTTTTAACACAAAGATAACCAGAGTGAGACCACGTACCAGGAGCGAGCCAACCCCACCTAGCTTGATGGCCTGATTTGGGGTCTGCAAACCCAGTTCAAGTTTCCCTGTAATTTAAACATGGGGGTTTTTCATGGCTGATTCAGTTTAAAAAGCAAGGTGGCTTCCGAAGTGATGGAAACCCCAGGCTGTGTTTTAGGGATAGAGAAAGTAGACTAACATGGGTGCCTGCCTAACACATAATACGAGAGACAGTTTGGACTGAGGTTTTCGGTTTGCTTTCCCCTTCCTCTCTGTGCTCCTTTCCCTCCCAAACTCTCATGTACAACTTTCTTTAGACGTCCCAGGTGTTGCTCCGTCATTCACACTTTTGCTGACTACCACAAAACTCGATAGAGCAAATGTTCTAATCAGTGTCTGGCCCTTTTGCACCATTCACTAAGTGCAAACTGACCACAATTGGCCCGCAGAGAATTTCCTTGTCAAAGGGGTGTGTTCCCTGCTGGTGCCGATGTGCCAGTTGTGGGCCCCTGACATCTGGTGTAGGGGGCATGCCAGGGGAGGGAGGAGGTGTTTTGGGGTCAGGCAGGAGGAGTGGCAGAGATCTGCCACACCATGGCAATCCTGGATGGTTTTAGGGTCCCTGAAGGACTCTAAACCAGTTATGCAGCTTGAAGTCACTTGTCCAGGGCTTGCTCCAAGAATCAGAGAGCTGGACCTAGCTCCTTATTGCCCCTGCCCTTGGTGCAGGAGAGAATCTAGCCCTATAACAATTTGGGAATAAATCTGATCTCAGTTAATCCTGGTCAACAGGAACACTGGAATTGCCAAACTGCAACAGGACAACAGTCCATCTATAGCAGAATCCTGTATCCAATAGTAGCCAGTATCAGATACCTCTGAAAAAGGTGTTAATCTTCCATAAAGTACCTAACAGGGATGAAATTAGTATCTGAGTCCAATTGGTTAGCAGTCTGTGCTCAAAAGAATAAGGATTGGTGGTCCTGTAGTTGTATCCTAGCGGCTCTAATTACAGTCATTATTCTTTTTCTTAGAAATGTCTAACCATTTATTGCAGTGCTGGTGTAGCCATGTTGGTCTCAGAATATGAGAGAGACAAGATAGGGGAGGTAATATCTTTTATTGGACCAATTTCTGTTGGTGGAAGGTACAGGCTTTTGAGCTGCACGGAGCTCTTCTACAGACTTGGGGAAGGAAGCGAAATTGGGACAGACTGCAAAACAGAAGGGGTAAGGCATGTTGGAGGTGGCTTCTTCCACCTACTCCACCTCAAGGAATTCTTTCACAAGATGACACCACCCAGAAGCACCACATCCCCACTGATAATCATAAGAAAAAAGAATCATTGGACTGGACGTGCTACCAGAGGACAAAACCACACACTGGATCATTACATTGATTACTTCAGGAAAAAAATTCTCTGTGAAATCCTCAACAAACATTACATCCACCACAATCTGTCTACCACCAAGAGGAAAGCAGATAGTCTCTGAAATCCATCGACCAAATAGTGATCAAACCTGAAGACAAAGGGGACACCACCATAGTCCTTTATCGTGATGACTACGTCAACGAGGCTAACAGACAACTCTCTGACACTACCTATTGTAACAGAGGGGTAGCCGTGTTAGTCTGAATCTGTAAAAAGCAACAGAGGGTCCTGTGGCACCTTTAAGACTAACTAACTTCTGTTAGTCTTAAAGGTGCCACAGGACGCTCTGTTGCTTTTTACCTACTGTAAAGAGCTCATAGGAGACCTCCTAACACAATTCACCCAGGAATTTAAAGATACTGTCAAATCCTTCCCAAAACAACTTGAAGAAAAACCCTACAACCTCATCCCCCATGAACCCACTCAAGGGACTTTCTACATGCTTCCCAAGATACACGAACAAGGGAACCCAAGCAGGCCCAGCATATATGGCCAGGGCACTTTTACTGAAGGAATATCAGGATTAGCAATGTAAAATGTTAACCAGTTAATCGTAAGCATTAGTCATACCAGTTAACCCACCTTAACTGTTAACCCCTGGGCTGCCTGGCCACCTGGCTCCAGCCGCCCTGTGCCACCCACTGGCCCCAGCCACCCCAAGTCGCGGCCAGAGCGGCCCGGCTGGAGTGGCCCCAACAGCGCCGGACCTGGCCCTTTAATTGGTTAACCGTTTAACCATTTAAACAAAATATTTTTAATTGTTTGAACAGTTAACTTTTAAAATGATATTTACATCCCTTATCAGGACTCATAGAAAACATCCTTAAACCACTCACCACACAAAAGGGCAGCTTCCTCCAAGACACTACGGCCTTCCCCAAGAAACTCTGCAACTTTAACAACCTCCCTCAAACACCATCCTTGCCACCACGGATGTCACCTCCCTATACACCAACATCCCTCAATGCAACAGCTTCGCTGCCTGCCTCAAACACATACAAGATAATGCACAACCCTCAGAAATCCAAACTCATCTTCACCCATAACAACTTCACTTTTAACAGCAAACGCGTTGTCCAAACCAGGAGGACAGCCACGAATACTAGGATGGTTCCTCAATATGCCAACCTCTTCATGGGCCACCTTGAGGCAGAATTTCTGGCAAAATGCACCACAAGACCAACGATATCCCTGAGATAAGCCATATTTTCCTCCTCAGACAGAAGACCTAAACTCCCTCGTAGATTTCCACCACAACTTCAACAGCCATCACCCATCCATCAAACTTTCTCTAGAACAGTGGTTTTCAACCTTTTTTCATTTGCAGATCCCTAAAAAATTTCAAATGGAGGTCAGACCCCTTTGGAAATCTTACTACATAGCCTGCGGACCCCCAGGAGTCTGCGCACCACAGGTTGAAAATCACTGTGCTAGAACACTTCCACACCAGCATCAACTTCCAGGACACCACGATTAGCTTTGACAATGGAACCCCACAAATGACTATATACAAGAAACCCACCTCACCTCCACAGAGCCAGCAACCACCCCAGACACACCACAAAAATCTGTTATCTACAGCTAGACGCTCAGAGAAACTCCAAAGAGAAAGTCCAGCGAATACACCTAAACACACATAAACCCACCTTCACTAAACAAAGACATTCCACCAGAGAAGTAGATTGCATCATGGAATGGACTACCTAAATATCCCATGAGAACCTGCTTTGATACAGAAAAAAAAACCCACTGACAGCACACCTCTGGTTGTTACCTACCACCAGCCATTGGAACCCGTATGAGGTATCATCAAACAGTTACAACACATATTTGAGGGGGACCATATCCTGAAAGAAATCTTTCCTGAACCCCCACTTCTGGCCTTCAAATAACCTGCAAAACTTGCCAAGTTCATCATGAGAAGCTAACTTCCCACAGATCAGGACACACCAACTCAAAGAAGCACCAGGCCCTGCTAGAACAACAGGTGCAAAACGTGCAGACGTATCTCCATTGCTACAAAGATCAATATCCCTCACAACATACACCTTTCAAGGTTCATGGGTCCTACCTATGCTTATCACAACCTGTGGCATACCTCATCCAATGCATCAAATGCCCCAGTAACAACTATGTGGGTGTAGCTTGAAAGCTTGTACCGTCCACCAGTAGAAGTTGCTCCAATAAAAGACTTTACCTCAGCTATCTTGTCTCTACCTTTTATCAAGGCTTACTGAGATATTTGTCTTGACAATATCTTCTGGCACAGAGTTCC